TCTGTGTGTGAATTTTAAACAAAAAAAAAGGCTCTGGGAGCGGGGAGAAGAATAATACATTTGAAGCCCTGTGCTATCAAAAGCTAATAATTGGCAAGTCCTTCTGAAATCCTTTCCTGCAAGTTCCTTGATTTGGTTTCTAATCTGGATGGTCAATACTGGGCTTGGTCTTCCTCTTCCCTCTTAAAAACCTCTGCCACAGAATGGTTAAGGGTAAACTCCAGAGAGAAAAAAAATCAGCACACCAGTATGACATCTAAAGGCCCTTCTCAATTCTATGAGGCTACAATTCATGAGGACTCCAGAAAAACCTGCTCGGCTTGAAAAAAAAAAGATAGGAGTGTGACAAGAAACCTGGATCATTCAGAGGAATACACAGATTTCTTCAAATACAGATGTGTCCTATTTTAAGAAAATCTGATACACACACATTGAAATTTAGAAAATTTGAATTATTTATTTTCTAAAAAATAACTCTTCATCTTTAAAAAAAAAAGGAAGGGATTAGCTACATGGATCTTATAAACAGTATGTTCTCCTAGTGCAATCAAAACAAAATTATCATTAATAGTTTGATGTTAATCAGAATTAAGCCTGCGATGGAGCAAATGATTGAATAAATGAAGACATTTGCTAACCTTTTACCAGGTGCTAAGAATTGTGCTAAGTTCAAAATAATATTTAAATTCAATTTGGGGAACCTATTTGTGGGTTGTGACATAGAATTTGTCCAGAATGGGGGCAGGGAGATCTATGATGATCATACTTGTCACAGAAATAATAAGAGGTAACTAGCAGGCTTTAAACCCATCAGTGAGTTAGAGAGTACGTCTACCCTAAGCATGTGAAGACTTTCTCCAGTGGAATGGGCAGATGAGAATGATTTTGTTCCAATGGCTGTGAAGGCAGCTGAAATAGGTGCTGTGGGATACTTAGAGCTTGGTCAGACATCGAAGATGCCAAGGTCATCCACTGCATCGTGGACCAGGGCCATCCATTTTGATTTTTGTCTTACTGACAACTTTGTGCAACTCTGCCTCACTTAAATCCTCATGATGTCATTGGTCCTCTTCAGAAATTAAGGAAGAGGGGGCAGCTAGGTGGCACAGTGGATAGAGTACCAGTCCTAGAGTCAGGAGGACCTGAGTTCAAATCCGGCCTGAGACACATAACACTCACTAGCTGTGTGACTCTGGCCAAGTCATTTAACCCCAATTGCCTCACCAAAAAAAAAAAAATTAAGGAAGAACAAGAAGTCACAGTTATAGTAATAGTAATAGCAATGATATAACCATGATGCAAAAACCAATAAAGAGATCTAGCCACAGATTACTCAGTTGGCTTTAAGAAAGTACGGCAAGTCTTATTCTCAGGGAATTTATATTCTAAGAGGGGGAAATATCACATATAGGCAAGTGGTGACCAGGAAAGGGTGTTCTGGCCTGGGAAGTCACAGGGATGGTGAGAGAAGCCATAGGGATCTGCTGGTATGCCTTTTCCAGAGGAAATGATAGTAGCAAAGATAATAGCAACTGCTTTGATCTAAACCCATCTGAGACAAGCTGATTTAAGACTAACAGTCAAAATAGGTTCGGTATGAATGTATACATACACACCATCTTGGGATGGGGGGAGGGGAGAGACGGGGAGAAAATTTGGAACTCAAAATCTTATGGAAGTGAATGTTGAAAACAAAAAATAAATAAATAAATTTTTTTTTAAAAGACTAACAGTCTATGCAATTGATTCTGGGGAGCTGATCTGATTGGAGAAAAGCTCTTATGCTGGGAACTGATTGAAGAAAGCAGAATCCTCTGCTGTTTGAGGAGCTGCCTGAGGACTGTGTTGCTCTCCAGAGAGGAAACCCCTTCAGAGGCTTTCCTATGTTGACTATTGTGATCTTTGGCTCAAAAGGAAAAAACTCAAAAGTTCAAAACTGTTCAAAATTGGAAGGGATCTCATTGGCCACAGAGCAGTCCTGTATAGCTTTGCAGATTCCGGGCTTAAGGGGATTTTTTTTTCACTGAAAGGGTATAGCATTGACTAAATGTCCAAACAAGAGAGTGGAGATGGGAATCTATACAGATCCCAGGCTAAGTTTACGTTTGATAAAAGAAGTGTTTCAGCAAACTGAGATCAGAGACTCATCATCATCCAGCAGGAAAAAGGAGAGGTGCAGAAGGAGAGCAGTGCCACCCAGTAGGTAATTTGTGGTGCCCACTGATGCCCGAAGAGACCAAGGACATTAATATTGTAGTCCAGAGTTTTGAGCTGCTTCAGGTACATGTATTTTCCTTTCATGTGCCTCACTCTTGGGTTTCTGTAAGTTTGTGACCACTATGGCCCGTGGTCACAATTTGTGCTGAGTCTGATCCAGGTTTATGGGTGGGCTGCTATGTTATATTACGCTTATTATAGCTTTGCCTTCCTTTAAGAAGCAGCTAGGTGATGCAATGGATAAAATACTGGATGCAGAATCAAGAAGACTTGAGTTCAAATACAGCCTCAGACACTGAAGTCTCTGTCTGCCTCAGTTTCCTCGTCTATAGATAATAATAGCATCTACCTCCCAGGGTTGTTGTGAGGATAAAATGAGATCATATTTAGAAAGCCTTTTTCAAAACTTAAAGCAGTATGTAAACACTAGTTAGTAGGTAGTAGTGGTAGTGGTAATAGTAGTAGTAGTAGTAGCAGCAGAAGGAGTGGTGGTGGTGGTGATGATGGTGGTGGTAGTGTTAGTAGGAGGAATAGTAGTAGTGGTGGTGATGGTGGAGGTGGTAGTAGTAGTAGTAGTAAATGTTTCATGATTAAGAGTTAATCATCTTGGCTGATTTGTTTAAATGAGAAGCACCTCAGTGAAGGCTTAGGACCTATAGTTGTGAGTAATAAATCTGTAGCTTTCTCACATCAGAATTACCCCTGTGGCCCTCAGAATGAGATTTAGTAGCATAGCCATCCCTTTGAGGAAACACCTGAACTTGCCAGCATGGGTTTGAGTGAATGAGCCAGGCTCAGCCCAGGAAAAGAGGGTCTAGAGAGAATTAAAGTCAGCTCCACACCGCCCCCCGCCCAATACACACACACACACTACACTAGGATAATTAATACACAGATTGACAGAATCAGGACCCAACAACATTTTGACAGGAAAGAAAATTGGTCAGAATCCACTAAGATGAAATTTATTAGGGACAAATGATTATACTTTTATGTGTGTGTTCAAGAAATATACTTTAAATGACACCCCCCCAAAAAAAAGAAATCAACTTAAAAGTACAAAAAAAGTAAGGATGTGTTTAATTGTATGAAAAAGATCTGGGGGTTTTAGTGGATGCAAGCTCAATATGAATTAGCAGGGTGATATAATAGACAAAAAAGCTAATGCAATCTTGTGCTGCATTAAGAGAGGTATAGCTTTCAGGAATAAGGAGGTCACTATAAGTCTTGGTCACTCTACATCTGGAGCATTGTCTTCAGTTCTGGGTACCATATTTAGAAAGGACATTTATAAGCTCAAGAGGAACTAGGATGGAAACATGCCAACTGGAGTGCAATCGATGCCAACTGAAAGAACTGTGGGTGTTTAATCTGGAAGAGAGAAAGCTCAAGGGGGACATAAGAGCTGTCTTCAAGTACTGGAAAGACTTTTTGGTGGAAATGGAATTAGATTTGTCCTGTTTGCTCCTAAGAGGTGAAACAAGGGACAATAATTAGATATCTCAAAGAAGCAAGTTTAAATGTCATGTCAAAAACAGATTTGCTAATGATTAGCGCTGTCCCCAAGGGGAATGGGGTGGTGGGTTCTCTGTGACATGCCTTCCAGCAACAGCTGAACAACTGTTGGTTATTATAATGAAGGAAAGAATCTTTTTCAGTTATGGGTTGCATTGTAGGGCCACTGAGGTCCCTTCCAACTTTGAACTTCTTTGATTCAGTTTGCAAAACTTTGATAGCCATAAATTACTTTTAACAAAACAGCTCTTTTGTAAAATAAAAGGAATACTTACCTATGTTTTTGTTCAGTTGTGTCCAACTCTTTGTGACTTCTTGTGGGGTTTTCTTGGCAAAGAAACTGGAGTGGTTTGCCATTTCCTACTCTGGCTCATTTTATAGATGAGGAAACTGAGGCAAACAGGGTGAAGTGACTTGCCCAGGGTCACACAGCTGGGAAGGGTCTGAGACTGGATTTAAACTCAGGAAGATGAGTCTTCCTGATTCCAGGCCCAGCACTCTCCACTGCAATATGGCGCCACCTAGCTGTCATACCTAACTATACCCACAGAAAAAGGAAGTAACTAGTATGTTCCTGAAAAGAAATTCAAACTAATGACCATAAATTGGGATGGTACAGTGGAAACAATGCTGGATTTGGAGTCAGAGGATCCTGAGTTGAAATCTTGGCTCTGTTGTTTACTATCTCTATGACTTAAGGCAAAAATCACTTGACCACTCTGGGCCTCAGTTTCCCCATATCTAATATATGAAGTTGGACCAGATGACATCAGAGATGTCTTCCAACTCTAAATCTATGATCTCAAATTGTATGTATCAAAATGTACAGTAAAAAATATTTATTTCAAAACATTTCTCTTCCACATTCCATGTAACTCAACTAAAAAAATGGAATTATCTCTAAATCACTGTAATGATAAGTAGTATTTATATATCACTTTAAGTTTGTAGAGTGCCTTATTTATATACATCATATATATATAATATACATTATATATATATGCATTATATATATATACATTATATATGTGTGTGTGTGTATGTAAATATATGTGTATGTGTATATATATACATGATCTCCTTTGGTTCTCATCACAACCCTGTGAAGTAGGTGCTATTATTATCTCTATTTTCTGGATAGGGAAACTGAGGCTAAGAAAGATTAAGTGATTTACCCAGGGTCATACAGCCAGTTAGTGCCCAGGGCAGGATTTGATCTCAGGTCTTGGGACTAAATGCTTCTTAATATACATGGTTTTCTCTTTTAGGCAAATGTCAGCAAGCCTGTAGAAATGGTGGTAAATGTATTGGTAAAAATAAATGCAAATGTTCCAAAGGCTACCAAGGAGATCTCTGTTCCAAGCGTAAGTACCTGGTGTACCTAATCTATTCGGTTATGGGGTAGATAAAGGATGTCCTCTGTACTTGCTATACGTTATTGCTAGACTGGCAGCATTTTAACTTGTCTTCAGTAATATGTAAGTTTTACTTATGTGGGTTCTTAGAATTAGATAAACTCCAAGCTTATAAAGAAAAGGAGAAGAGAGGGGGGAAATAACAGGGGAGAGAGAGAGTAAAGGAAAGAGGAAAGGGGTTGTGGAGGAAAAGAAGGAAAGGAGATGAGAGGGGAAAGAGCAAAAGAGAGGGAAGGAAAGAAAAAAGAGAGGGAGGAAAGGAGAGAGGGAAAAGAAAGAGGAAAATAAAGAAGAGGGTGAGAAAGAACAGAGGAAGGAAAAGAAGAGAGGGAGAGGAAAAACAGAGGGAGGGAAAGGGGGGTGGAAGAGAGAGAAAAGGAAGGGAAAGGAAAGGAAAAAAGAGAGGGAGAGAAAGAAGAAAGGGAGGGAAAGGAGAGAGAGAGAGAGGGAAAGAAGTGAGGCAATGGAGAGATGGAAGGAAAGAGAAGGGAAAGAAAGGAGAGAGGGAGGGAAAGAGGGATGGGAAAGACAGAAAAGGAAGGGAAAAAAGAGAGGGAGAGAAGGGAGAGAGGGAGAGAAAGAAGAGAGGGAGGGACAGGAAAGAGCGAGAGGGAAAGAGGGGGAGGGAAGGGAGAGAAGAAGGAAAAGAAGAGAGGGAGAAAAGGAGCAAACTGAACTCTCTAAACATTATAAACTTCCTAAAAGATAATGAGGGGTCATTGTCCTGCACTGTCAAAGCCCTACTGGCTGCTGATTGTTTTGTGGACACAAGGCATCATGCATAGTTTAATCTCATAGGTAAGGAGAGGACCCGGGTGCTAAATCAACTTTCCACTGGAGAATGACTTTAAGAAAAAAAAAATTACCTCTTCCCACACAAGTGAAAGGGATGAGGCCAAAACTAACACATTCTACAGAACAGCAGGAAAAGTAACTGTGTAATTTGGTCTGAAAACAAAAATTCAGAAAGCTTTCTTTGTGATACTCTCTGATTCTAGCTGTCTGTGAGCCTGGTTGTGGAGCCCACGGGACCTGCCAGGAGCCCAATAAATGCCAGTGTAGGGAAGGCTGGCACGGACGACATTGCAACAAAAGTGAGTGGAATTGCCCCATTAGAGTGCGCCCCAGAATTTTCCCTAACTTTCTTCAGTCACATCCCACTGACCGCAGAGGTGCGGACATCTTGTAACCGAAAGCTGCCTTCTGTTAATGGTAACTTTTGACTCATTGATGCAGCAGATTGCAAATTGTGAAGCACATGTCAATTATAATTTAGATCTATTTAAATCAGATTTGAAATTGGCATTCCATTGACCTTGATTCTTTAGTCTAAAGGTCTTTTCTGGAGTTTTAAAATGGCACTGTGCCCAAGGCACATTGAGATAGTGTACAATGGACTTAATAACTTTAACAATGGATTTGCTAAAAGTTGTAGGTAAGGTCATATATACAGTTATCCCTTCCACATCACTACTTTCCCCATATTGATTTCAATATATCATGGGTTGGCATAAGAAATTAAATGGGAAGTTTTGCGGAAGCCACAGACGACACACAAAGGCCAATAGATAATACAGAAAAAATTTAAAAACTCAGAAATGCATAAAATATATGTATAGTATTATATAATATCAACCAAAATTTTATGATAAGGTTCTGTAAATATCCATAAAAGAAAAAATTCAGACTTCTTCTCTAGTACAAAGGGAAGGCCAAAAACATTTTATGTGGATTTTCCAGATCATGAGGGCAGAGGGAGGCCACTGCACTCCTACCCACCTCCTACCCACCACAATGTAGAAAAGATAGTTTTGGTGGTGTTTGGGTGAACCCACTGAGGGAAAAATGAAGTGTGAGGAGGTCTATGCAGGTAATTTCCAAAGCAAATAAGTATCCCAGGAGTCCTCTGGGCAAGGGATCACCAAGGACTAGCAAGCCTGGACATCTTAGAGCTAGTCTGGAATAATCATAGATTTAGACTAGGAGGTGACCTCAGAGGTCCTGGAGTCCTAAGAGTAGGTCTAGAGTGTGTTGAAAGGTATTTTAGAGGTCATCTCGTACAATGGTATCAAACTCAAGCACAACCAGGAACCACCAATGTATACATGAGAATCCCCGTGAGCTCCATATTGACAGTTTAAGATGCAATGTTATCTATGTTTTATTGTACTTTCGTTCATTTTGCTAAATATTTCCCGATTGCATTTTAATCTGGTTCAGCTGCAGTCAGGACTGTTTGGGGGCACGTGTTTGACCCCCCTGATCTAGTAACCCTAAACCCTTTGCTTTACAGATGAGGAGAGAAAGGCCCAGACAAGTTAAGTAGATTTGCCCAAGATCACACAGGTAGTAGTAAGTGGCAAAGCTAGGATTCTAACTCAGGTCAGCAATAACACTTCCATCAAATACCCTATCTCCCTTTTTAAAACACACACACAATAACCTATATCAGCTTGCTTACCATCTCAGAGGTCCTGAACACCTAGGCAGCAGCATGGGAACACTGAGTAGTACTTGGGTGGAGACTATGGTGAAGACTGCTGAAGATGGCTACCTACTTCATTTTGCCCAAGGCCATCTTTGTCTCAAAGGGAAGTGCTGGGATCACAAGTGGCAGACATTTGGGGGGGGGGGGCTGGTGCATTATTGGCTCATGTTTTAATCATCGTGGGAAGCTACCAGTATATGCCCTGATAATTAAACATAGACCTACCTCATGTTGTTTTCAGCTCTGGACTGTTATGTATATTAGAACAGCACTTCTTAAACTGTGGGCGTGAAAAATTTGGCAGCAGTCAAAGGTTTCTGAAACTGCAACGACCAAAAATTAATTAAAAATAAACGCGTAATGAATCCGAGGTGTTTCTCCAGCACTTGCCAGTGTCGCATCACTAAACTTCACTGCAGCCTTGGTTCTGAATGCACGACATGCTCACTTTGCACTGTGCATGCTGTCAGGCCAACACCACCAATGAATGCTGGTGGAACACAAAAAGGGGTCTTGAATGGGAAAAGTTTAAGAAATCCTGCACTAGAAAGTCAAAATTGTCTAAGAAGATGCCAATTCTGATTTGATCAGTGGCATAAGCTTACTCTTGAGGGTATTTTTCCCACTTTCAATAAGCCTCCACTAATCTATTTTTAAATTTTTTTTTCACTTTTTTTTTTAGGCAATTGGGGTTAAGTGACTTGCCCAGGGTCACACAGCTAGTAAGTGTCGAGTGATTGGTCTGAGACTGGATTTGAACTCAGGTCCTCCTGACTTCAGGGCCGGTGCTCTATCCACTGCGCCACCTAGCTGCCCCTAAATTTTTTCCATCAAAAAAAAGTATATAAACTTTATTACATTATATTTCACTGTTTGCAAAAGAAACTTCATTAAAACAAAACAAAAGTGGCAACTATGCAGAAGGTGTTGCCAGTATGGCCCCATTTTCCAGATTTTGGGGGAAATCCATTTGGTGACTTGAATTAGGATGAAGAACTAATATACAGCTAAACAAAAGTTAAAAGATTGTAGACTTAGAGTTGAAAGAGACTTCAGAGGTCATCTAATTCAACTACTTTATTTTACAAATGATGAAATTGAGACCCAGAGAGCTCATGACTTGTCCAAGGTCACACAGTATCAGGGCAAATATTTGTACTCTGTTCCTTTGACTTCTAACCCAGCAGTCTTTCAACTGAAACACCCCACCTCCCTATACTGAGAGAACCCCCTCTGAGAGTTCATAGACAGAATTGGAGCAAGTCAAGCTACTTGAAATAATAATAGCTGATATTTATATAGTGAATTAAGGTTTGCAAAGCACCTCCCATAGATAAACTTATTTGAGCCTCACAAAAACCCCATGAAATAGATGCCATTATCACCCCCATTTTACAGATAGAAAAACTCAGGTTTAGAGAGAGTAAGTGGACCAATGGTCACACAACTAGTAAATATCAGAGGTCAGGGTCAATTACTCTTCATCTAGCAGTTTTATGTGATACTGCATGGGCTCTTGGTATATTGCTATCACTGCATTCCTGGCCTGGGCAGGTGAGAAGTGAGTTCCCAAATAGATACAATCTCTGCCCCATTTCCACCCCTATTTCCATGAGCTCATAAGTCATCATGGAGAATGAGCTCTTTAAAATTATCTTTTTAACCCAGTGGTGAACGGGAACTAAATTCATCCAGAATTAATTGCTGTTTATCATTTTGATTAATGCTATAGCTCTAGTAGATAGATCTAGGGGTAACTAGGTGACATAGTGGATAGAGAGCCAAACCTGGGGTCAAGATGACATGAGTTCAAATCTAACCTCAGACACTTACTAGCTGTGTGACCCTAGACAAGTCACTTAACCCTGTTTGTCTCCATTTCCTCATCTGTAAAATGAACTAGAGAAGGAAATGGCAAAACACTTTAGTATCTTTGCCAAGAAAACCCCCAAATGTGGTCATGGGGAGTCGGACACAGGTGAACAACAAGATAGATCTGACCATATGAGAGAGGGGCAAGAGGGGGAAGGAAGGAGTATGGAATTAATTCCTATCTGTATGGCTTAAGTTGTTTTGGAAGTATAGCAAAAGAAGATCTGTGATCAGATTGTCTACAGAGGTTATCATTCTCTTTTTGCGAATCAGCATTATAGGTTAGTGGCTTTTGGCTGAAGAACATGCATTTCTTTTCAATCTCTTAATTGCCCTTGACATTGATAAGAGTTGCTAGAAGACCAGGTCACCACCTTGGTTATGACTATGTTACTAGGACAGGGATTTTGTATAAAGATAAGTCTGATTTGATGCAATCAAATCAAATCACAGAAGAACTTCTGGAAGCGAATACCTTTAGCATCTCCTACCTATGCAAAGTAAGGCAAGACAATTTCTTCATCTGTAAAGTGAAGGGGTTGGGCTAGATCATAAGTTCTAAGCCTTTTTTTTTTCCTTTGGCGGTCTGGGGATACCTATCCTCAGAAGAATGTCTTTAAATACATAAAACATAAACTATATAGGATTACAAATGAAACCACTTATAGTGAAATACAGTTGTCAAAGTATACATATTTTTTAAGTTCACGGATCCCAGGCTAAGAACCCTTTTACCAGATGACCCCTGACATCTTCCAACTCAGGATCGGTGCTCCCACAATCCTCACTCAGGTAGTTACATACATATTGTGGTTTCTGTGGCCAGGTTTGTTGGGCCAGAAAGGGAAAATGGATTCCATCGGTATGGTTAACCACGAACCTGAAGGATCTGTTTTTGTTGTTTCTTTTCTCTTAAACTGCGGTTAATTTTTCAGGGTATGGAGCCAGCCTCATGCATGCCCTAAAGCCACCAGTTACCAAGCACAGACAGCACACGCCTTTACTTAAAAAGGCAGAAGAGAGGCATGTTCCACCTGAATCCAATTACATCTGGTGAACCCCTAGCATCTGAAACGTTTTAAGTTACACCACGTTCATAGCCTTTGTTAACCTTTCATGTGTTGAATGTTAGAATGTTGTTCATTACAGGGAAGAATACTGGCCTGAATTTTATTAGCTTCATTATAAATCACCGAGCTGATTTTCCTTTTAAGTCTTCTACGAGCTTCTTTAGCATGGTGGCATAGGTCTTTTTAATGACATTTCTGTTAGAAAGTCCATTGATCAAGTTAAGCTTAGCTGCAGATGATTTTCCAAAACTGAAAATGCAATGATAAGGTAGGTGATTGTAGCACATTATAGAGGGGGTACCCTTGATTAAAAAAAAAAGAAAGAAAAAACACAAATCACAGAGAAGGGATTGGGTAAGGCAATGATTGCTATGACTGGCTACTGTGTTTTGCCCTTAAAAAAATCTCTTTATTATTTAGATCTACATCTAAATATCAGTTACTTAGATCTAAATATTGGATATTTAGATCTAAACATTAGACATTTAAAGCTGTGTTGCTTTTTAGAGAAAAATGAATGCATCCTAATTTTTTTTTAATCTCAGCACAATGTTTTGATTTTCCTGTTTTTCCTGAATTCTCAGTATTAAAAAAAAAGACACTCTTTTCAGTGGCATTTATACAATATAATATATTGTATACAGTAAAGTAGAAATATAATGTATGAACTTTTTTTGCATCGGCTTGAAGCAATATAATATATTGTAAACAAAGCACAATTCTTGTGTAATAAACTGTATACCGACTGATGTGTATAAAATAAAGGTGAGGCTTTAATTTTCTCAAAGGTTGCATGATGTGGTTATTATATGTTGTAATCAGTCTCATGGCTAAGAATTAAGAGTGCAGTTGCTTTCTTTTCTTAGTAGAAACTGGGGACTGTGGATGTGGAATATTAGCCATTGGTGTGCTGGTAAATATTTAACAATCAGATCTCTGGGGTGGGGGGTTGGGGGGAGGAATGTAGCCAACAAACTTTAAGCTTAATTTGAATTATGAATGTTTCTTCATCACATTCTTAAGTCTTAAATCCCAGAGGTGGAGAACCTGCGGCCTCAAGGCCACATATGCCTACACTTGAGGACCTAAAGGGTCATATGTAGCCTTGAGGCTTCAGGTTCCCCACCCCTGGTCTAGACAATCAACAAAACAATAAACCAAGCTCTGACTTGCAGCAGTTCCTGATTTCCCAGGTATGAAAACTGGTGTTGGAAATTGAACAATTGACCCTCACAAAATGATATGGACTGGCTTTAGCTCACCCCTAAATATACCAAACACTGTCAAACACAGCATTTGTGCTGGTGGGTTTTGCTGAATTGCTTTTTTTTTCTTTTAAAAAAAAATTTGTTTCAGGGGATGGCTTGCTGGAAAGGAGAGTGGAGATAAATATATTCAGAAATGAAGACAAAAATAAAAGATATCAACAAAAATAAAATTTTTAAAGAGTGGGTGTATGACAGCAATGATGGGCATTTGTTATGATGTCATGGAGATGAAGAAAATTCAGCTGTTGATTTCCCTTTATCTGTCTCAAAACTCGTGACAGAAAGATTTGAAAGCCACTGTATAGCTACAGTGATTAGTTAAACCTCTAGCTTAAAAGTTTATGGCCAATCCTTCAAGGATAGAAGGACATGCTGGAACCTCAGCCTAATGCTTTCCTTAAACTGTGTTATAAGTAGAGTAGAAGAGTATTATAAGGATATTCTAAGCCATCCAGTAGTAAGCTCCTTTGTATATAGGATCCTATAGCAGAGTTGTAATCAGTAATTGTGTTCCCTATGGGACAAGCAGCAAGAAATGTTTCCTAAAATCAGCTTTTAAAGACAAATTCATTTGGGGAGAAGAGACCCAAGGAAACAGGACCCTCTTGGGGGAGGACAAAGACTGTGGGACATTGACCTGTATGGGTAGAGGTCACTGTGGGGGATGAGACAGGGCTAGACAGAGAGTTTACCTGGGATGAGGCGTGGGAGTATACCACTTGGTGGGACTTTGATTTCTTCCTAACTAGGTGCTAAAGCACAGTTGTTGTTACCTGCTGTCACCCCCCAACCCCCCACCCCCCAGTTATAGCTCTGTAAAACAGATCTCTGTTTATACTGACTACTGGGCTAGCGCACATCAAGTGAGGTAGCTGGTGGGGCAGTGGTCAGAGCACTGGAGGTTTCAACACATTTTCCAGCAGTGGGCCAACTAATGATTCCCTTCACTGCAAACTTCTAGAAACACTCACCTAGATATAATTCCTTCTCACCTACTCATTCATTCTGCAAAATCCCACACCCTGGCTTCTGTCTTCCATCATTTAAGCAGTCAATAAGCATTTATTAAGTGTTTATGACATGGCAGGTACTGTGCTCTGCACTGAGGATAGACAAAAATGTAGACTCTGCCCTCAAGGAGCTCACAACCTAATGGAGAAAACAACATGTAAATAACTTTGTACATAGAAGATAACATACAGAGTTTTGTGGGTCATTTTAATCGTGTCTGACTCTTCATGATGCCATTTTTGGGAGTTTTCTTGGCAAAGATACTGGAATGGTTTGCCATTTCCTTCTCTAGCTCATTTTATAGATGAGGAAACTGAGGCAAACAGGGTTAAGTGACTTACCCAGAGTCATACTGCTAGTAAGTGTCTAAGGTCTCATTTGAACTCAGGAAGATGAATCTAATGTTCTATCTACTGTACCGCCTAGCTGCCCTATATACAGAGCAGAGGGAGTGTGATCTCTGAGGGAAGGCACTTTCAGCAGAGGGAACTGGGAAAGACCTCTCGCAGAAGGTGGGATTAGAGCTGAGGCCTGAAGAAAGGCCAGGAGAGAGGATTGAGGAGAGAGAGAATTCTAGGCATATGGGACAGCCAGTAAAAAGGTATGGAAATAAGAGGTGGAAAAGTGTGTTTCAGAAACATAAAGAATGCCAGTGTCACTGGGTCTGATAGGAGGTGGAGGAGAGTAAAGGGTAAGAAACCTGGAAAAGTAGGAAAAGGCCAGGTTGTGAAGGGATTTCAAAGCAAACAGAGAGGTTTATATTTGATCCTGGAGGTAGTTGACCTGGTCAGATCAACATTTGATTCATATTTTTCTTGCAGGCTTTAGATGTGGGAGCTTTGACTTTGTTATATTCTTCTGCTTGTATGTTTTGATCTTTCTTGTCACCAAAGAAAGATTCTATTGTCTGACTTTTTTTGGTGCCTTTTGCTCATGTTCCCAGCCAATCACTTAACTTTTAAACTTTTTGTTAAAGTAGGGGTCTGCATCCAGTGTGAAGAATGTACTGTCCCAAGCTTCAGGGGTTTTGTGCAGCTGTTTTCAGAGATACTTTTAGGGACCTGTAAATTTTCAATTCTTCCAAGGTGATATGATCAAGGGCGAGGTGTCCTGGCCTGTGCTCTTGTCTGTGAGTGACCACAAGTACTCTTTTCTGCCTTGGAACTGTGAGGAGGATTCCTCCTCTACTGCTACTACAAGCTCCACCACACCAGTGTTCCTCCTTGCCCTACGATTGCCACCTAGAACTGTGACCCAGATCCATGCATGGGCAAAGCAAGAGATTCCTGCCTCAGCACCAGTAAAGAGATCCCTACAATTGCACCTCTGATCAGCCACTCAATTACCACTCTGTCTCTGGGCTGAGAGCTCCAGAAACAGCCACCACCCTGGGGCCACACGCAGGGACTGGGCTGGGACCGAGCTTCTTTCATTGCAGTCACAGACCTTTCCTACTGACCTTCTAAGTTGCCTTTGGCATTTGTGGATTGAGAAGTCTAGAAACTGCCACAGTTGCCCATGATTCAGTCCTCTGAGGCCTCCTCCAGGTTCACTGAGGCCTGGTCTTTACCTGCGCACCCATACTGAACTGCATTCCTCTCCCAGCCTGGCACAATAGACCTTTCCAATGAACCATCCAGGTTGTCTTGGGCTGGAAATTTGTTTTGTTCTGTCTTGTTGTGGGTTCTGCTGCTTTAGAATTTGTTTAGAGCCATTTTTTGCAGGTATTTGGAAGGGTTTGGGAGAGAGCTCAAGCAAATCACTGTTTTTACTCTGCCGTCTTGGCTCCATCCCCCAGATCTGCATTTGAGGACAATCACTTTGGCAGTTGTATGGAGGACAGATTGAACTGGGGAAGATTTGAGGTAGAGAGAACAACCAACAGGCTATTGTAGTATTTCAGGAGGGAGGTGGTGGGGGCCTGCAACAGCATGGTCATTTTGTAAGTGGGAAGAAGGAACTTATGTGAGAGACGTTCTGAAGATGGAAATGGCAAGACCCAGCAAGATGTTGGGATATGTATGGTGGATGAGAGTGAAGAGTGGAGAGTGTGACACAGGTCCTAAGATTCAGTGACTGGGACAATGGTGGTGCCTTCAACAGTGAGAAGGGTTGGAAAGCAAGGATGATTTGGGAAAAAAGATAAATGGGACTGAGATTGAAATATCCACAGGATCCCATTCTAAATGTCCAAGAGGTAGCTGGTGAAGTGAAATCAGGGGTTAGGAGAGAGGAATAAATAGATCAGAAAACAGCAAACCATTCCAGCATCTTTGCTAAGAAAACCCCAAATGGGGTCACGAAAAGTCAGACACAATTGAAACAACTAAACAACAATAAAAATAGATCAGGATCATTTTGTTAGAGGTAACAACTAAGCTCATTAGAACTGATGAGATCACCAAGTGAGACAGGATAGAAGGAAAAACTTAAGGCAGATCTCTGGGGGACACCCACAATGATCAGGCATGACATGGAAGAAGCAGTGGCAAAGGAGAGGGAGGAGTGGTAAAACACTTAGGAAAAGAAGCAACAGAGAGTAGTGTAGTGAAAACCTAGAGAGAAAAATTATGAAGAAGGGGAGGCTGATTGACAATGCTGAAGACTATAGAGGGGCAATAATGATGAGGATTGAGAAAAAGTCATTAGAGTTAGCAATTAAGAGCTCTTGGTAACTTTGGGAAGAGCCATTTCAGATGAATGAGAAGGTCAGAAACCTGTTGCGGAGGGTTTAGCATTGAAAGAGAGGAGAGGAAATGGAGGCATCATTCGTAGATGGTTTTCCTAAGGAGTTTAGCCCCCAAAGGGAGGAGAGGAATAGGAAAATCAATAGCTACCAAGGAAGGCCAGATCAAGTGAGGGCTTTTTAAGGATGAGAGAGACATGGGTGTGTTTGTAAGCAGAAGGGAAACAGTCAAAAGTGAAGGAGTCATTAAGGACTACTGGAAAGGTGGGGATAAAATAGAGGGGGAAATGCCAGAAGAGATCGGAAGGAATGAGATCAAAGATGCCTGCAAAGGGGCCACCTCTTTGTATGAAGGAGGAGAGAGTGGGGGAAGACATTTGAGTGATGTGAGGTGAGGAGGATGCAAAAAGAGGGAGCTGTTAACAAATGGCTTCAGTTTTTTCAGTGAAGTATAAAGTTCTCAGTGAAGAAGGTAGGGAGAGGGTTGCTATGGGAAGCTTGAGGAGAGTTGAAAAGATTTGGAAGAGTTGCCATATGAATAGTGTAAGAGGTCTGCTTTGCCACAGCAAGGGCCCAGTTGAGATCATGTAATGTACATTTATATTATACTCGATTTTGTTTTTTTTCTCTCTTCTTAGCAGCATGTAAATAGGTGCAAAGGTGGCAGCTAGTAAGAGTAATTCAAAATTGGGGTTTGACAAAACACAATTGGTGATAAGTCAAAGGGGTAAGAGACCCACAGGTAAAGGATAGAATAAAGGTGAAGTGGTTCACTGAGGTTGAGAAAGGGAAGAGAGGAGGGTGTAGCCAGTGCAGGAGTGA